CCGCGACGTGCGGCGAGCGCTGCCCCGCCCGCCCGCTCCGCGGGAACCGGCCCGGCCGCCGCGAAGCCCCGCCCCGCCCCGGCAGCTCCGCCCCGTCCCGCGGGCCCCGCCCTCTCCCCGGCGCCAGTGACTGCTCTCTCTCAGCTGGGTTGCTGCCTGGGTCTGTCCGGGTGAGAGGAAGGACGGAAGATCCTCTTGAATATGAGGAAAAACTTCTTTACTGTGTGGGTGGCCATGCTCTGAAACCGGTTGCCCAGAGAGGGTGTTGAATCTCCCTCACTCGAGGTGCTCAAGAACCGTCCGGACGCAGTCCTGTGCCATGTGCTCTGGAATGACCATGCTTGAGAAGGGTGGTTGGGCCAGATGACCCACTGTGGTCCCTTCCAACCTGACCCATTCTGTGATTCTGTGAAAGGTGTTTGTACCTTGGACAGGGTATTAAAAGAGGTCACCCTTCTCCCTGCCCTATGTGAGGGCGAGAGTCTGTAAGTTTTGTTGGCTTGGTGGATCACACCAGTACCACCACATGCAGCCACGTAACCTGACTGAAGCTAATTGGTGATTGGTATAATTAGAAAGATACAACGGAAAAGTAAAATTCTTGTTTAGACACAACATTTTATTGAATCAAAGGCCTTAAGTATTGAGCTGGTGAGACATTGGAGCAGGCTGCCCAGAGAATTGTGGATGCCCAAGCCCTGGAAGTCTTCAAGGCAATGTTGGACGGATAATGAAATCAGACAACAAAACTTTCTAACGCAATTTTGAGTGTCAGACAGCAGGCATTCTTTATTACAGTGCTAGACACATCAGAAGGATAGCTCTGTTAATCTGATGTGTGTCCAGAAGGTACAACAAGGTATTTACTTCATCATGATCGCACATATTTGTTACAGTGTACTTCTGGCTTATTCATAAACACCACTTTTCACAGGACTAATTTGCATGCAGCTGCCTCCTACTTGCAGTCTATCAATGTCCCTAGAGGGTTGTCTGAAAGGGTCTTTGGTGGTTGTACTCACCAAGTGCCCTCAATATTACAGATGACATTTCCTTGAACTTCTCTTAGAGCATGTGTTGTTGCTTCTTTTTACATAACTTGGCCCAAAAAGCCACTAAATTCCTCATTATCTGTTTATCTACTGGTTCCAGCTACATTTATCATCCTGTGTGCACACTTTTACATTCTTTTATCATTTTTTGATAGTTGGTCTTTAAGCTCTATCCAGCAACTTCAGGAGAGCTGAAAATTTATCTTCTCCGTGTTATCTATCAGGACAGGACTTTGAGCAACCTGGTGTAGTGGAAGGTGACCTGCCCATGGTAGGGTGGGGTAGAAGCAGATAATAGTTAAGGTCTCTTCCATCCCAAACTGTTCTGTGATTCCGTGAGCTTCTATGAAGCATGGATGCAGACACAAAGCTAGATCAACCATGAACCAGATCCAAGCTCCTCAGAATATTCCAGATGTCTGTGCTTAAATTCCCAGAGCAGCTAGTATACTTCCCACTTCCTTGCAATTTCTTCAAGTCCCTAACATTGGTTCTGTAATAAGCAGGACCATAAAAAAGCCATACATGACAAAATATTAATTTCTTCAGCACAAGGAACAACTGTGTACAGGAGCATTGCCATGATTCAGCATGTCTCACATGCGTAATTGATACAAGTTGTTTTGGGGAGGAGGAACCGATTTGGCTTTACAATGAGGAATTGTTAAGAGGTAAATGTCATTCTCTGATTAAGAATATCAGTGGAAGGGACAAGCCATACATTCTCAACCCCTGACCTGCCAACACATAAGGAAAAATGCCTCCAGAAGCACTGTTCTGAAGTATACCTTCTGCCTCCCAGTCCAGCTGCATCTGTCCCTTTACTAAGAGTCACCATGTGGTAGGAGAGTCCTGTAGTCCTCTTTCCTCCCCACCCCACGGGTTCGGTTATCCAACACCCAGTGATGATGTGCTAACAATCCAATGTGACAGGAGCTTGCAGGCTGAGAGCATGCCAAGTGTGAATGATGAAATGGGTTCTGGAAGTAAAGTTAAGGATGGTACAGGTTCTGCCAGGTGAAAATTACCAAAAAAGCCATTAGAAAGGGTCTGTTGAGGAACAGGCAATAACTGAAGAATGGTTGATTAGTATTGAGAGCAAACATGATCAAAAACTCAGTAAATAATACATTTGTGAGGAGTAATAGCAAGTCATAAGATCATCAGACTAGGTAGTTCCTGTAACTAATGTGAACTATTTCTCTAACAGATGTCAACAAAGGAAAATAGCAATACTGTGTAATGGTACAAAGATAACCCTGTGAAGGAACTGAGTAGAGGCTTTGTTGCAAATGATGATTCTTGTGAGGCACTGTCCCAAAGATTAGTAAAATAATAGGATTATGTTTCCTGCAAAGTTTGTTTGCTTGGGATGTTTGCAAAGCTTGCTTAAACTGTGCTGTAAAATCTGTAGTTGCATGGCATCTGAACAGCATCTGATTTAAAATGAAAGTTTGAACTTGCATAATTTGAATTTATAGATCCTTCCTGTTAGTGATGGCATCATATTAGCAGTACTTGGGACAGAAACAAAAAGGGCATGGAGGAACAGAAAATAACACCCTGAGATAACAAACCATTCAGTACATGTAGACAAGGGAGGAAGGAAAAAAGCTTTTAAATGCAACCACATTGTTAAGGCAAAGTGTGACAATGATCAGTGAAAGAAGTGGAATCCTGTTATACTGACCTGGGTGCACAGGTTTTGGCCACAGCTACACCACACCTGGCCATCAGGGAACACTGGCAGAGCTGGCTTGGAGCTTCTGGAAAAGGTCCTATAGACAAACAGGGCAATATGTGCTGTACTCGCTTTTGTCTGAAAACAGCTGATGGTTTTGTCTAGTTTCTGATGGAAAACCACTTGTTGCACTCTCCAGTGTTTCACTGGAATGAGTCAAACCAATGAAGAAAGAATGATGATGCTGATAGCTAGATATTGAGATGACTAGCTAGGAAACATCCAGAAGCTGAGGCTGCTTCTCTCTTCCCTTGTTATGCTACTCATTACTTCTGTTTACAATTTGTTTTGCTACCTCCTCTGCTTCTTCTGGGCATCCCATTTACAGCAAATTCCAGAAGCATTTTGCCTTCTGTTCAGATATACACTTTGTGACTGCAATCTAGAGCTTTGCAATTTGTAATCTACATTCCTGTGATATACTCCACAAAAAGTTATCATTCAGAAACTTCAGCTGCAGAAAGAAACAGCTGCCAGCTGCACTGAAGAACTTCTCAGTGGAGATCTCATAACTAGAAGTTCTTTGCACTTAGAAACTTGCTGGCTCTAATTTCCTCCTTTTGTCCCTGGTTCAGTTTATCTCTTTCTTGTATTCACTTGTAGTCACAAGTAGTCACTTGGCCTTGCAAATGCAACAGAGTCAAATCTTCCCAGATTACCGCTAAACATCAGCATGTGCATTTCCTCCTCTTAAAACAGCCATGTGACACTAAACAGTCTCTTACCAAAGTATTTTTTACGGACTAAAATAAAACCATGGGCCTTTGCAGTGTTCCAGCCCAGTTCAACCTTTATGTGATAACCGTGAAGGAAGTGGGGAGGAGACTCAGCGCTCCGTCTTTGTCATTAAAAAATGCTTTTAACACAGTAGTCATCCAAGACATAGATTTGGCAGCTTTCTGGCCAGACTCTATTACAGCAACACAAAGCAGTCACTGGGAGGATGTGTCCCAGAATATACAGCCTTTCCTGATCTGTGTCCTTTTGAGAAATGGACATCTTAATATGTGGTTGGTTTTTGAAATCTGTAAAATATAAAATATGTTCACTGGAAGCAAGATGAATGCATTAGGAATTCATGGTTAGGCAAACGTAATATATTAACCTTTCCAACAACAGTGAAGTAGGAGAACTTTACATACTAAAACATCTGGAACAAGCAATGAATGAGCATAGTGCCTCCCAAGCTCTGAAGGCTGAATTAGGAATTGATCTAGAATATAGCTTAGATCTGTAGGCTGCCCTCTGGAATTCCACAATCAAGAACCATCAAGCTATACTTACTTGTCCTTTCAGTAAGGAGAGAGTGAGAGAAATTACCTAGTTCAGGTAATTCTCTTAGGATTTTCAACTTTCTGTTTTCTATACTTCAGTCACCTAACATATACAGACACACATATAATACTTTTCTTTCAGATTGGAGGATGGTTTCTTGGAAACCTTTTTTGTGTCCTATTATTTATGCTCTTTACCCAAGTAAAATATTTCTCCAGCACTTGGCAAATAACAACTGAGACTTTCACAACTGAGAAGGGATTTGCTTGACCAGTTTCAGCTGGAAACTCACCAGAGATAAGGCTGAGTCCAGCACTCTGGAGTGGGCCAGCTGCCATGTAATGTTTCCAGTTCTCCATGCAATATACCTCCACTGTAAACTATGGAACAATATCACCTCTGCGCAATTTCCTATTGGTTT